TTGCAGATGTATAGAAGGAACATATGATATCTCTACACCTCTCTCTCTTACAGACAATTTTGGAAGCCAAAAAAATATTAGTCAAAATAATGATTTAACTGGCATGATCTTGACAGTTGTAAAAGGTTAGACAGAGTTGTTTTCATCTTATACATGTTTGTTTTAATCAAAGATTAGTAACAAGTACTAATTGTGTTAGCTCTTGTAAATATTTGCAGAATCTTGTGAACTTACAAGTGAAGAACATGGAGAATAGTTGCAAGATAAAGAAAATGCAATCAATATGTCAGCTCCATTGTCTGTTAAATAAATACAAGAAGGCAGCGTGGCCAACATAGGTATTACGTTCATTTCTTCAGGTGAAATTCTAGAAGTTAAGGACATTTTGGCGAATTGTGTCCTTAATATTAGATTCCTAATTCAAATTGTCAGGACATTTCAAAAATTATGTCTTGAGTTTTGTCTCTTCATTTGATAATTTGTTCTAGAATTGAGGACTTGCAGCAAACTAATGTATATGTAGTGTTGCTTGCAGAGCAAAACAAAAATGAAGTTGTTAACCAATATACTAGGAAAAGGAAGAGAGATTGTATTGGTTTTGATGGTCCATCATTTGCTATTCTTACTCCTACTCCTCCGAATACACAAATGAGCATTGATGAGGGTTTGTCTATGGAGGTTGAAGGAAATGTTGAAGAAGATCTTGGTCGAGAAAAAAGGAATAAGAAGCTTAGTTGGCAATTGAAATCTCCTTTTGAACAAAAAAATAAAAGAGGAACATCGATGGTGCACAATGAAAATACTTTCGAGTATACGGGCTTGATAAAATTAAAATATACTCGTACATGTATTTTTCATTATGCCAAAGATGATGAAAAGTTATTGAAGAAATTCATTAGGTGGTTGGGCAAGGAGAAAAGGAAAGGTCGCAAAAAAGTGTAAGTCCCTAAATGTATTCATTATTTCTTAATTGCTTACATTTGTGTCTTGAACTTCTAATTTTAAATTCAGGTCTAAGTGTATTGAGCTTCCAACTCTAACTTTATGATTAAATGTCCTAAATTTTTGAGCTTGTAACTCTAAGTTACAAGTTCAAAAGTTAAGGACACTTAGTCCTGAACTTAGACTTACCAGCTCAAAAGTTAAGGACAAAGTAAGTTAAGGACTAAGTGTCCTTAATTTTTGAACTTGTAACTGTAAGTTAAGGACTACCTGTCCTTAATTTTTGAATTTTCAGCTCTAACTTCAGGACCAAGTGTCCTTAATTTTTGAACTTCCACTCTAGGTTCAGGACCAATTGTCCTTAACTTATGAGCTTGTTACTCTAAGTTCAAGACTAATTGTCCTTTAATTTATGAGCATGTAAGTCTAAGTTCAGGAATAAGTGTCCTTAACTTTTGAACTTGTAACTCTAAGGTCAGGACTACTTGTCCTTAATTTTTGAACTTGGAACTCGAAGTTCAGGACCAAGTGTCCTTAACTTATGACCTTGTTATTGTAAGTTCAGGACCAAGTGTCCTTAACTTATGAGCTTGTTACTGTAAGTTCAGGACTAACTGTCCTTAATTTATGAGCTTGTAAGTCTAGGTTAAGGACTACATATCCTTAATTTATGAACTTCCACTCTAAGTTCAGGACCAATTGTCCTTAACTAATGAAATTATGTACTTCTAATTAGGAATTGAGGACTAACTTATAAGCTTTCTAACTTTGATATTTTCAAAATTTTCAGGGGACATATAAATTGTACCATCAAAAAATCAGTAGCAAAATATTCTTCCTTGAGCTTTCAGATAGTAGCTATGTACTTGATTATAAGGTTTGATAATTCACAAGGCATTTGTTTTATTTTTTCTTAATTTATTATTTTTTAATTATTTATGACTGATGGATTTTTTTTTATTTTTTTGCCTTTTTATGAAGCATATTGACATTGCCCTGTATTATTTGAGAAAAAAGGAATGCTACCATCCTTGCGCCCATCATTTTCGTTGCACAACTACAGATATAGTTTTTGATAACTATATGCTACTTGTGTATAAGGATTTCAATGAAGATGCTTCAGATGAGTTTTGGTGTTGTGATAATCAATTGGTTCTCACACCATATGTGTGGGGTGACAATCGTAGATGTGGAATTTCTTGGACAGAGGTTGATAAAATCTTTTTTCCATGCCGGCTACCTTGAGAAGATAATGATGTTGTGACACATTTTTTGGGGGGTATTGGACTTGAATGAGAGAAAGACTGATGTGTACGATTCCATATATAGTGAACCATATGAGGAAGGATTGAAACACATTGAAATGTATGCACGCATGATCCCCCACTTGCTAAAGTTCTCACAGTTTGACAAAAATCACAAGTCTTTTGGAAAAGCATTCAATAAATTTGATACTCAATGGCAAAGATCACCAAGACAAACTGGATCGTACGTGTTGTCATTTGCTATATAATTTATATGTACTTTAGATTTATTTTATTAAAGATATTGTTTAATTGACTCCATATCTTAATTTTTTTTTAGGACTAATTGTGGTGCATTCCTAATCAAGTATGTCGAGTTATTGATGATGGGAAAGGATGTGGAGAAATTCTAACATGAGGACATATCAAACTTCAGAAAAGAACTTGCAGCAAATCTTTAGGCACACGGAGAGTGGAAAAGAAATTCTGGTTATGAAATACCACCAAAAAAAGTCGGCGACGACTATGATAGTGAAAATGAAACTTCTTGCCCGAAGGAGTTATAGTGTAGTTGTAAAGAAAGTCAGCTGTAGTGGAATTGCTAGTAGTATATTTTCTGAAATATCCTGTAAATTATTCACAAGGCACTTTATTTTGTTTGCATAGCATAATATTTTGGTCGCAGCTTTGCCAAATTACAGTTTTAGCAGTAATATGAAGGCATCGTGTTATTAATTTTTTTCTTTCTGTTAACTATTGATTTGTCCATTTTTTCACAGTTTTAAACTGCTAATCTTTGATTAAATTGTCTTGAAGTTTTTAGATATTCAAAGTAACACACGTTGATTGTTGTAGAACTTTAGGACATAATGTTCATAAATGTCCTGATTTGTTGAAGGATGAAAATAATATTCAAGACATATTTTTTTTAAATGTCCTACACTTCTGGAAATATATACAATAAACTGAGATTTTCATAAGTTAAGGACATTTTAGAAATTTATGTCCTTAATATTAGATTGATACTTCAAATGTTTAGGACATTTCAAAAAATTATGTCCTAAAGTTTACTTGTACCAATCTCATTTTAAAAATAAGATGTAGCAAGTTGTGTTTAGCAAGCTGCAGATGTCAAGTTTTATAACTACTGATTTATCCATTTTAAATTGCCAGTCTTTTATTAAATCTGTAGAGATATAGCAAAAGATACATTGAATGTTGTAGAACTTCAGGACATAATGTTCATAAACGTCCTGATTTGTTGAATGATGAAAATAATATTCAGGACATATTTTTTTAAATGTCCTAAACTTCTGAAAATATAGACAATAAACTGAGATTTTCAGAAGTTAATGATATTTTAGAAATTTATGTCCTTAATATTAGATTGATACTTCAAATGTTCTAGACGTTTCAAAAATTATGTCCTGAAATTTACTTGTACCAATCTCATTTTAAAAATAAGATGTAGCAAGCTATGTTTAGCAAGCTACATATGTCAAGTTTTATAACTACTGATTTTTCCATTTTAAATTGCTAGTCTTTTATTAAATCTGTAGAGATATAGCAAAAGATACATTGATTGTTGTAGAAATTAAAGACATAATGTTCATAAACGTCCTGATTTGTTGAAGGATGAAAATAATATTCAGGACATATTTTTCTGAAATATCCTGAACTTCTGAAAATCTAGACAATAAACTGAGATTTACAGAAGTTAAGGACATTTTAGAAATTTATGTCCTTAATATTAGATTCATACTTCAAATTTTCAGGACATTTAAAAAATTATGTCCTGAAGTTTACTTGTACCAATCTCATTTTAAAAATAAGATGTAGCAAACTGTAGATGTCAAGTTTTATAAAGAAAAAGACCTTCTTGTTTACTTACGGCAAGAGTAAAATCCCGTAAATAATAATTGGTCCGACAAAGGTAAATTGAACTCCCAAAAAAAAGAAAAAGAAACAAAGAGCACGTAAGCGCAAAGAAACTTTGAAAATTCAGGACATTTTTTATATAACCATCTTCTAATGTTTACTTTCTCAAATAAAAACAATCTAAATGAATCCAATTTATAGCAAACACTTAAAAGAGTAGATAAACATAAGTGGATATATCTATAATTCTCCATGCTTCCTTGAAAATGGATGGAATGCCGGAGAATATATGCAAGATGTTCTATTATGACCCATTCTTCTGTAACGACCATATTTGAATGTTATTTTTGATGATTCGGTAGCCGGAATATGCCTTTTCTTCTGCCTTCTACCTGGCGGGACTTTGAAATCTGGAGGTTTCATATGTTTTCAGCCAAGATTCCTTTAAGTACCAGTCTGAGCAAAAATTGGACTTCTTGTTGTTTCTCTTCTCGATAGCTGCAATTGCATGTATACATGGTAATTCATTAAATTGAAACTGAAAACAATCACATGTTCTTTTGTTTAAGTCCACCAAGAAAGTAATTCCTTCTTCCTCAACTTTAGAACGCCATGAATCAACGGGGAAGACCTTCAAAGTTGAAAAACTATAAGTTAGTATATTATTTTAAATTATTATTAAAATAATAAGCTAAAGTAAGAACATAATACTTATATTTAAAGTAAAAGCTAAATCTATCTTTTTCTTCAATTCCTCTTCTACCTAACAAGAAATGTCGTAAAAAGTTCCTTCTGCTTTATTTCTACTTTCATAAAACCAACGTTGTAGCTTCACTTGGATGAAATCCATCATTCTTAATATAAGCAACTCCCTTGCTTCTAATAGCAAGAATTCATTGACTCGACTATTTTTGTTGTGAGCATGTCATATCTTCGTCATGGACTACAAGAACGTGCCCACTTTTCTGGTGGTTCTTCCATCAAGTAGTCAAAAGTCTTCTTATCAACTTTTTCTATATCTGACATGTATAGATCAAATTCTTTGCGCCTGTATACTCTTGCAGCACTTTGGAAAAGTTTTATGACCTCACTTTTCACTTTCCTTCGCTTTAGGTTCTGCTCCAAATGATAGATACAAACCTCATGATGGCTTTCAGGATATACCTTTGCGATGCCATGTGCAATAAATTGATGCATGTCTGATAAAAAAGTTAAATTGTCACGGCTCCCAATTGCATTGCGAAGCTCACTAAAGTACCACTCATAGGAATTGTTATTTTCAGATTCTGTAATTCCAAAGGCTAGTGTGAATATTTGGTTATTTGCATCATTTGAAATTGAAATCATTAAAATACCACGATATTTTGACTTCAAAAAAGTTGCATCAACAGTAATCACTGGTCTACAATGATTCCAACCAGTTATTGATGATCCATATGCATAAAACATATAAAGAAACCTGAAAATACAGTTTAACAAAAGGTTAAAAATACAGGACACCAAATCCTTAATATTTACACTACATACATCAAAGTTAAGGACACCATGTCCTTAATATTTACACTGCACATATCAAAATTAAGGACATCGTGTCCTTAACATTTTCACCGCACACATCAAAGTTAAGGATACCATGTCCTTAATTTTTACAATGCACACATTAAAGTTAAGGACATCATGTCCTTAACATTTACAATGCACACATCAAAGTTAAAGACACACCATGTCCTTAACTTTTACAATGCACACATCAAAGTTAAGGACACCATGTCCTTAACATTTACACTGCACACATCAAAGTTAAGGATACCATGTCCTTAACTTTTACAATGCACACATCAAATTTAAGGACACCATATCCTAAATTTTAAAACAGACTAATAAACTCTTTTTGATTATTTACCTGTTGTTGTCGTTTATCTTTATGTTAGTGTATCTTCCCGGGTTTTTACTTTTCATCATATACAAGTATGAAGACAACAATTCATAATTCTCTTCAGGAGTTCCTCTTATTAAAGTTGAAGCACGTTGAATAGCACGCCACGCCTTGTGATAACCAATGTCTAGTCCATGCAATTTTTGCATTTCTGTCATGACAAAGGCTGGTGTAACTTCAAACATTGGGTCTCGAAGATTGTCAATAATGTACCACTAATCAACTTTGAAGTTGCATGCCTTTGATCAGCTTTCATAGTGTTAATTGAGCAGTCATGATTTTTCTCAATCTTTACTATCTTGAATAGTGTTGAATCTTTAATTCTGAAAGCACGCACACACACCACCCACACCTATCATCATTGCATTTCAACGAATATCTTGTTGAGCTTGATCTAACAACCTTGAATTCAAAATGTCCTTTAATTGCTATATTCGAAAAATAATTAATTATACTCTTCTTTTTGTCAAATATTGATCCCACTTTTATTTCATCCAACAAAGCATTTTCTCTTAATATCGTAGTTGGGATTCTTTTTGTTTCGAATTTGAGCTTCGTCTAGTTAGTTGAGTAGATGTTTTTCAGCAACTTTTTCTATATATGGTGCATTCTCTAAGACTTGAATACCCGAAGCTTGTTGGTTGTCAATCTCTATAATACTTTGTTCTTCTACTTGAATAGAATTAAATGTTTGAAGTACCTCTTCAAATATTGGTTGAGGTTCAACCACATCTATTTCCATTATCTGTTGGCATTTGTCTTGATTATCTTGTTGAGTTTCTATATTGACATGTTCAAAGTTCTTGTAGAGCCAAAAACTCTTTCCGAAATATCAATAATGAAATGACAGCCCTTGAAGAGTGAATGACTTTTTAGTAACTCTATACATGTGTGAAGATCTAAATTAGGTTGATATCAAACCATATCATTGCTTCAAACTTATCTCTATCCAATTCAATAACTTCAAAGACCTGGTTTTGATGATCAAGATACTTATAGTCTGCAGTCCATCTACCATTAAAAGCAACTATAATACATATTGTATCCATTCTGCAAGTCAAAAAAATGGAAAATTCAGGATACTTTGTCCTTAATATTTATACAGCAGTCGTGAATTTAAGGACACGATGTCCTAAACTATATCAATATAAGTTGCAAAATACATGACACTTTGTCCTTAATATTTAGAACAATATTCATAAAGTTAAGGTCGTCGTGTCTTAAACTTTATCAATACAAATTGCAAAACACAAGACACAATATCCTTAATATTTACACAGTAGTCATAAAGTTAAGGACATCGTGTCCTAAACTTTATCAATACAAGTTGTAAAATACAGGACACATTGTCCTTAATATTTTTTAGAACAACAGTCATGAAGTTAAGGACATCATGTCCTAAACTTTATCAATACAAGTTGCAAATACATGACATTATGTCCTTAATATTTACATAGTAGTCATGAAGTTAAGGACATCATATCCTAAATTTTATCAATACAAGTTGTAAATACATGACACAATGTCCTTAATATTTACACAGTAGTCATAAAGTTAAGGACATCGTGTCCTAAACTTTATCAATACGAGTTGCAAAACACAGGACACTTTGTCATTAATATTTTTTAGAACAGCAGTCATGAAGTCAAGGACATCATGTCCTAAACTTTATGAAGTTAAGGACACTATATCCTCAATATTTACACAACAATCATAAAGTTAAGGACGCGATGTCCTTAACGTTATCAATCCAGAAAAGGAAAAAAAAATCAAATCCCTTGCATCTTATTCTTCAGTAACGAAATAAAAATCCACACAAAAGCATATAGAGATATATGAAATTTTAGAACTTACTGTAATTTTATGGTGAATTTTGGACGAGAAAGTTGAATTCTCTAGTTTGAAATCGGAAGAGAAAAGCTTTTGTAATTTTGGATGATCACAGTAATTTTTGACGTTAAGGATCAGCAATTCTCTGCACGTAAGTTTGAACTGCTGCTGATCGTAAATAAGGAGCATATGTTTCAGCGAAATTATTATAGCAGAAAGGTATTTTTGTCCGGGCGGGTAAAAGTTTATTAAAGCAGTGACTAAAGACTAAAGACATTTTAAACAGTGGCTTAAAAGTAAATACATGTGTTATTAATGACTATCTGTGCACATAGCCCACATTTCGTTTTAATGAAAAAAGTCATGGGCTATTAAAATTTTAAGGGGCTATAGAGGGTCATTTCCTCTAGTATGCAACCCAATAGTATAATGGGCCAGACTCGCTTAAGCCCATACCATAAGAAACACCAAAGCCCAAGGTCAAGTAACGTCGTCGTTTCTTATCATCTCATCATACCAACCAGAAAGAAGGTCCAACTATTCAACCCATTTTCTCAAATTGGAGCAGACTCTTGCCGCAAAAATGGCTGCTCTCTCCACAGTGGCAGCCACTTCAAATGGCATCAACCAGCTCAATTACAGAGTAGGGCCCAATTCATCTGTCTGTACAACAAACCCACAAAATTTGCATAGTCAATGGCTTGGTACTCAAATCAAAATCTCTCTTCAGTCCAACAATTTCAAACCATTTCTTACAAAACATTGCCCCATTAAAGCCACCATCTCCTTTAGCCTTCCTTATGGGTAAATTCTCACACCTTTCCTGTACTAATTCTTGCATTTATCTCTTCTTTTT